GGGGAGGAAGGGGACGATGGAAGGGGAGGAAGGGGACGATGAAGGGAGGAAGGGGACGATGGAAGGGGAGGAAGGGACGATGGAAGGGGAGGAAGGGACGATGGAAGGGAGGAAGGGGAGAGGAATGGGGACGATGGAAGGGGGAGGAAGGGGACGATGGAGGGGAGGAAGGACGTGATGGAAGGGGAGGAAGGGGACGATGGACAGGGGAGAAGGGGGATCGATTGGAATGGGAAGAGGAAGGCGGAGGTCGTCGATGAAGGGGAGGAAGGGGACTGGAGGAAGGGGGGTGAGGAATGGGGACGATGGAAGCGGAGGAGGGAAGGGGACGAATGGAGGGGAAGGAAGGATGGAGGAAAGGGGACGGTGGAAGGGGAATGGAAGGGGACGATGGAAGGGGGAAGGGGACGGTGGAAGGGGGAGGAAGGGGACGATGGAAGGGAGGGGGGGTGGTGGAAAGAGAGGAAGGGGACGATGGAAGGGGGGCAAGGGGACGAGGAAGGGAGGAATGGGGAATGGAAGGAGGAAGGGACGATGGAGGGGAGGAAGGGACGATGGAAGGGGAGGACAGGGACGATGAAAGGGAGGAAGGGAGACGATGGACGATCAGGGGAGGATTGGGGAGAAGGGGACGGTGGAGGAAGGGGACGATTGGAGGGGAGGAAGGGACGGTGGAAGGGAGTGAAGGGGACGATGGATAAGGGGAGGGGAAGAAGGGACGATGGAAGGGGAGGAAGGGGACGGTAGGAAGGGGAGGAAGGGGACGGATGGAAGGGAGAAGGGACTGATGGAAGGGGATGAAGGGGCGATGGAAGGGGAGGAAGGGGATCGGTGGAAGGGAGGAAGGGGAGGATGGAATGAGGAAGGGACGATGAAGGGAGGAAAGGGACGATGAAGGGGAGGTAAGGGACGTGGAGGGGAGGAAAGGGACGATTGGAAGGGGAGGAAGGGACGAGGTGAGGGGACGGTGGAAATGGGGGGACGGATAGGGACGATGGAAGGGAGGTAAAGGCGATGAAACTGGAGGAAAGGGACGATGGAAGGGGAGGAATGGGGACGATGGAAGGGGAGGAAGGGAGAGAGGTGGAAGGGGAGGAAGGGGGTAACGATGGAAGGGGAGAAAGGGGACGCATGTGAAGGGAGGAAGGGTGGACGAATGTGAAGGGGAGGAAGGGGACGATGGAAGGGTAGAGGTAAGGGGGACGGTTTGGAGGGGTAGGGAAGGGGTACGGTGGAATGGGACCAGGGAAAAGGCGGACGAATGGAAGGGGAGGAATGGGGACTGGTGGAAGGGGTGAGTAGGTGGACGATGGTAAGGGAGGAAGGGGGACGATGGAAGGCGGAGAAGGACGGTGGAAAGGGAGGAAGGGACGATGTAAGGTAGGAAAGGGACGCGTGGAAGGGGAGGTAAGGGGACGGTTGGAAGGGAGAATGCGGGTATACTGAGGTAAGTGAGGAAGGGGAGGTGGAAGGAGGGTATAGCGATGGCATAGGGAGGAAGGGGACGATGGTAAAAATAGGGAGGACATTTTTTAAGGGGTACGAGGTAAAGGTTGGAGAAGTGGACGGATGGAAGGGAGGATAGGGACGATGGAGAACTAGTCAATTGTATGTGTAAGGGGTAGGGAAGGGTACGATGGTAAGGGAGGGAAGGGTAGGACGGTGTGAAGGAGCTGTTATGGCGGTGACTGGTTGCATGCGAAGCTGGGTAGGAAGCGGGACTGGTGGTAAGGGTTAGGAATCGTGGGCACGATGCTGTAAGGGGAGGTAAGGGGACAATGGCTAAGGAGGGGAGAATTCTTGTTACTAATCGGGCACGATGTGACATAGCGGTGAGGAAGTAGGCGGATAAACGTAGGTAATAATGTGGATGGAATGGGGACGAATGGTAAGGGTGAGGAAATTGGGGACGATGGTATATATGGAGTTAGGATAGTGGATCGATTCGGTGATCAAGGGTGATTCCTGTGTAATTAATTTGGTGGACGGTGGATAGGGGGTTTCCAAGGAAGGAGGACGGTGGAAGGGAGGAAATGGGTGGGCGATGGAAGTGAGAGGAAGGGGACGGTGGAAGGAGAGGGAATGGGGTTATCGATTGGTAATGGGTTGGTAGGTAAGTGGACGTTATAATGGTATTAGGGGAGGAATGGGGTACGATGGTTTTTAGTGGGATGGTAATGGGGACGATGGTAAGGGGAGGTAATTGGGGACGATGGAAGGGAAGGAAGGGGACGGTGGCGAAGCGGAGGAAGGGGGTACGATGGAATAAAGGGGATGATAGGGGGACGATGGTAGGGGAGGTAAGGGGCATGGGCTAAGGGAGGAAAGGTGTGGATCGATGGATGGGGAGGATAGAGTGGGTAAACTGAATTGGCAGGGGAAGTAAGGATAAGTTATGGGGGATACGATATGGGAAGGGGAGGCAATGGGTACGGTGGAATACGGAGGATATAGTGGACCGATATGAAGGTGGTGAGGTGAAAGTGAGAGACGATATTAGAAGGGGAGGAAGTGGACGATTTTTGGAAGGGGAGTGGATAGCGATTTGGTTAAGGGGAGGTGTAATAAAGGTGGACCGATGGTAAGGAGTAGGTAATAATGGTACCCGGTCGTGTGGTGTGAGTAGGTGAGGTGAAAAGGGACTGATTGGTGTGTGATAAGTGGGTGAGAGAGGACGTATTGCGTGATAGTGAGGAATGGGGGACGACTGAAATACGGGGGAAAGGACTATGACTGCGGTTTTCGGTGTGTGTACATGCGTCTATGTACTTTTTAAATGCTAATGTACATGCACGCACACCTACATCCGTAAGCGGAGATGAGCATTGAAATACACATACGCGTAACTGCACATACATAAAATGCACGTAGAATAAAAGCACTATGCACACACACACCACACAATCATGACACAGACACTGTAGGCTGTGCTTCGATATATCAACACACACACATTTTAATCCTTTCTCGTTGTATAAACAAGAGAATATAATTATATACTTGATACGTAGAACATTACTAATATAACATCAGATTATGGGATTACATCACATATCATGAAAAAGTTCATGAATTATATAACATTAATTATAACGGACCTATTATAGTAAGTCGTTCTTTCTCATTCTTTGCTCTATTAATAATTATCCATTAGTATGTTTTCGTTACATCACACTCTGAATTATGCTGAGAAAGTATCCGTGTAATATAAGTAGTCTAAGATTCCGTCTAGATATGGCCAGTTTATGTGTTTTGAGATCGTATATTGATTTGTGTGTGTGTGTGTGTGTTGTGTGTCTGTGTGTTATTTTGTGATTGTCGTGTGTGCTGTATCCTTTTTTAATATTGTTTTTTTTACATTTGTGTCGTGTTGATGTGTTGCTCTGTTGTGGTGTGTGTTTTGTATGTGTGTGTGTGTGGAATTTGTGTATGTGTTCTTGTGTGTGTGTGTGTGTGTTGTGTAAATTGTGTGGTTTTAACTTGATATTCATATTCTTTTTTTTGTGTGTTTTGTCTGCAGTGTGTGTTGTGTTTGTTGGTGTGTCGTGTGTGCTTTTTTTTCTCTTTTTTTTATTTTAATTTATATTTTTTACTATCTTAATTTCTCTGATTTGTTTTATTGGCCGGTCTCTAGTGTGTGTGTGTGATTATGTGTCTGTTTTGTGTGTGTGTTTTTGTGTGTGTTGTTGTTTGTGTGTTTCTCGTGTGTATGTATGTGTTTACATTTTGATCTATAAATGTCAGAAGAAGGAAAATGGACAAGCCCTATGACGTCATCAAGGTCCGTTCACACATAAACACGAAAGAATTCATTCTCGGTAATGGCAAACCCGCGAATTTCGTGTGAAAGGCAGGGAAAAGAGAAGGAGAGAGAAGAGAAGATGAAAGAATAGAACAGAAGAAAAGAGAAGATAATAAAGAATATTAGAGGGTGAAGAGAAGAGAAAGAAAGGGGAAAGAGGAGAAGATGTCATAGGTATTGGAAGAGAAGAGGAGAGGAGAGAAATGAGAGAAGATATGAGAAGAGTAGAGAGAGAGGACGAAAGATAGAATATTTAGAGATATGAGAGAGAGACTGAGAGAGAGAGAGAGAGAGATGTAATAGAGAGATAGATGAGAGAGAGGAGAGAGAGGGTGCGTTAATTTAGAGAAGTAGAGAGAGAAGAGATGAGAGAGAGAAAATTGTGAGATGAGAGAGAGAGTAAGAGAGAGAGACGATAGATAGAGATAGATAGATAGAGAGGGAGAAAAGAGAGAGAGATACAGAGAGATAGATAGAACGATATATATATATATATATATATATATATATATATATATATATATATATATAGAGAGAGAGAGAGAGAGAGAGAGAGAGAGAGAGAGAGAGAGAGAGAGAGAGAGAGAGAGAGAGAGAGAGAGAGAGAGAAGAGGAGAGAGAGAGAGAGAGAGAGGTGAGATAAAGATAGATAGATAAAGAAAGAGATATATAGAGAGATAGATAGATAAGGAGAGAGAGAGAGAGAGTTGATATATAAAAGAAGCATTTAATCACAGCCAATATAAAAATGCAGATATAAAGGTGAATTCAAGTTTAACCAGACGAAATACAACACTCAATTATTACGCTGATGCATTTATATCTGTATTGTTTATCCTTTAATTCTGTTTTGTTTACTGTGTTTTGAATATCAAGAAGGCGGTAACTCGATCAGGTAATGCATCTCAGAGTCGCTGACATTGCATTCATTCATGCAATTACTTAGGCGGGTATTGTTTACATGGTCTGTGATTAGGTTAACGCGACGAAATAAAGCTACGTGCGCATTTCTTCTTTTGTAATTTATGGCCAGACAAATTCTGATGAGTTACAATGCCAAAGAAAAGGAGAAAGAGAAAAGTAAGGGAAACAGAGCCTAGACACCTCTTCATATCGAGACTAATTCAGTTCTCCTCTCATGTCCGTCGCCCAGGGAATGCAATACGGATCACCTCCTCCTCCATTACACGCTCGTCACCTCGCCTTGCTTTTTCTTCTGCTCGGAACTTGCTCGCTGATTCTCTTCGAATGACGTAATTGATTCTACTTCCCTCTCGCCATGGTTTAAAGCGTGGGATTCAGATCCTTTCGCGAGGGGTTGGGTACCATCGTTGAGGTCCGTTGAGGTTGAAAAGGGGCGGGTTGAAAGAGGTCGGTGGCAGTACTTGGTAACAGGCGGCGGCCGCGGCAGCTGCGCGAGGGTCCCGCGGCGCGGCGCTCGGCGGTCAGTCGCGTATTTTTCGGTCTTTTCCTCACGTACGTCTTGCTTGTGTCGCGGTGTCGGCCAGCTGTGTGCTTTTAGAACCGTTATCGAAGTGAAGAAAAGAGAAAAAATAAAAAATGGAAAAATATTGGTGAAAATTCTCAGCAGAGCTGTATAGTGATACGGTAGAATTACTATCTGAGCAATTGCTAGATATTCCTTTTCCCATGGAAGCCATCGAGTTCGCGCTGTGATAAGACCTGTGTTCAAGTTATCATTCATTTAACGACCTTGGACAGCGTTGCCAAGCCCGGTTAATCAGGATTCCCAAATATACGTCTGTATCAGGTGGCTGAAGCGTGAGACACTGTAGAAACGCGGGTGACATGAATGTTCTTCACCGGTAGTCAAGCGCCACTTTTGAAAGAGAAGAAGAGGAAAAACGTAGAAGAAGGAGAAGAGGAGGCAAAAGAAAAAGAAGAAGAAGAAAGAAAGCGGAAAAATTAAGACAGAGTCCTGTACAACGAATACCCTCCCCGCTGATCGCCGGTAAGTAAGAACAGAAGAACCGAGAGATAACATGACATAATGCGTACCTTCAGTCCTTTGCTTAATCCTACTCAGTCACGAAGAGGTAATTTGACAGGGAATTCTACTAAGCGAACAGTGTACATAAACTTTTTTTTTTTTTTTTTTTTTTTTTTTTTAATTCTGCGTATGATTGGTACCACGTCTGTCGTTTTCCTGTGATGTTCTAAGAACTTTGAGTATATTGAAGGAAAAAATATGAGTGGTTAGCAATAAGACCGAATATATATGAAAGGAATGATTACATGTTGATAAGACAATAAATAAATAAGTAGACAAGTAAATGAAAAGGTAGAGATATACAAACTTTCTAATCAAGCGATAAACATTAGAGATAAAGATAGAGATAGAGAGAGTTAGAGAGACTGAGAGAGATTTAAAGTGAGTGAGTGAGAGAGAGAAATAGAGGGAGGGAGAGAGAGAAAGTTAGAGATAGATAAACAGACAGGCAGATAGATAGATAGGCAGATATATAGGTAGATAGAAGAAATTAGTGAGTGAGAGAAAGAGAGAGA